TGTGTGTGTGTGTGTGTGTGTGTGTGACATATAGGAACTATTACTATATTTAGTTGACAGATACGGGATCTGAAGGCCAAAGTGAAAAGAAGCACAAAGTGTCATAGAGCCCTGGATTCAAGTCCAAGCAGTCTGACTGCAGAGCCACATACTTAGCAACTGCGTTTTGCTGCCTCTCAGCATAGCACCATCTTAGTTCATGGTCATAGCAGCAGGATGTAACACTACAGAGTTTTTGTGACTAAAGAGGAAACAACTCACATTCTATTACTCTAGCAAAACAACTATTTTAACTTGATCAATGCTGTTCCAGTCATTCTGATATGTTACTCTTTTTTAACATTTCAATTCCAGATGATTATTTAAATATTATGAAGTAGGTAAAAGATAATCTCTCTAGGTAAATGTTAACATAATAAAAACTATAAGCTTTTATTTAGGCAACATTGTTATTCTAAGCCAAAGTACATTTTATATACATAAAAGGCAGTAGATTATGAGAGTTTTGTGATTGTTGTTAAAGAGAGTGTAGGCTTTATTTATTTATTTATTTCTGATTAATGAAATGACAAATACTCATTGCAGAAATTTTGGAATAATTCTCTTATGATGGATTGAGAGAATGCCTGAAATTAAATGACATTTCCAAGGGGCTTCATACATGTTTTCTAAATGATTTTTACAAGTTGACGTTTATTGTTGTTAACTAATGATAATTCCTCTAAATGTTTTTTAGATATAGTTATCTTAATTTTTATTGGGTTATTTTCTTATGTTTGATATTTTCCCAAAAGGGTTTAAGAGAGCTTAATCCAAGTATAGTTATTTATCATCAAATGCTTTCTAGTTTATCTGAAAGAGAAAACTTTATTTTATAACTGGTTAGATATTACAGTTTCTTACTAGCATAATAATCAGCACCACTGGTTGTACACCATTGTGCATTGGCATTTCTAGTATTGTTGTTTTCTAATATTTGGAGCCACGGCTTGTCTGTCAGTTTGTCATAGTGTGGTGGCTTGTGTGTTGCTGTGAAGCTGGAAGCTATGCTGCAAGTATTTCAAATACCAACTAGGTCTCACATGGTGGGCAGGTTTCAGCAGAGCTTCCAGACTAAGACAGACTAGGAAGAAGGACCTGGAGATCTACCTCTGAAAAATACTGGCCAGGAACACCTTATGAAGAGCAGGGGACACTGCACTATCTGGAACTATGAAAAGGAATTCAGCACTGTGCATTGTAATAAATAAAAGGTAATGTTTCAAAGAATGGAAACTCAAGAGCACTTAATTGTGCTCATGCCGAACCTGCACATAAACCCAAGAGGCAGTCGTTTGAACAGAACAAGGACATTCTGTGTGGTTTAAAATCAGGAATATTGTGTGTTGGGGTTGTAGCCTTTCACTATATGTATTCAATTGAGCAGATAATCCAAGAAGCTGTACTATATGAAGAACATTGCATCAGGACTGGAGGAAGACTCATTAATAATCTACAATATGCAGATGGCACAACTTTGCTTGCTGAAAGCAAAGAGGATTTCAAGCACTTATGAAGATCAAAGACTACAGCCTCCAGGATGGATTACACCTAAACATAAGGAAAACAAAAATTCTCACAACTGGTCCAATAAGCAAGATCACGATAAATGGAGAAAAGATTGAATTTGTAAAGAATTTCATTTTACTGGGATCTATAATCAAAACTTTATCCCACTGTTAACCGTTGAAAGGTAGTAAGAATCAAATGTAGTCCAATTTGATTTTATGTAACTATGAACATTTTTTTTCCTTAACTTCATTTACATTTTTTAAAATACCTCAGTTGTGTCTTCTCATCTTACATCATGTCTTGCTCACATTACTGCTGCTGCTGTTGTGGTTGTTATTAGGTGCTGTCAAGTCAGCTCCAGCTCATAGCAACCCTGTGTACAGCAGAATGAAACACTGCCCAGTCCTGCACCAGCCTCACAATCCTGGCTGTGCTTGAGCCCATCATTGTATCTACTGTGTTAATCCATCTTGTCAAAGGTCTTCTCATTTTCCCCTGACCCTCTGCTTTACCAAGCATGATATCCTTATTCCAGAGAATGGTCCCTTTTGACAATGTGACCAAAGTAGGGAGACAAAGTCTGGCCAGTCTTGCTTCCAAGGAGCATTCCAGCTGCACTTCTTCCAGGCAGATATGTTCATTCTTCTGGAAGTCCATAGTACTTCCAGTATTCTTTGCCAACACCACAAATCAAAGGCATCAATTCTTCTTCGATCTTTCTTATTCATTGTCCGGCTTTCAACTGCATATGAGACGATTGAAAATACCATGGCTTGTTTTAGCCACACCTTAGTCTCCAAAGTGACGTCTTTGCTTCTTAAGAGGTCTTTTGCACCAGATTTGCCCAGTGCAGTGCAGCATCTGATTTCTTGACTGCTCTTTCTATGGGTGTTGATTGTGGATTCAAGTAAAATGAAATTTCTGACGTCAGAGATTACTGCAAATAGTCTTTATATCTTTTTCTACCCTTCTGTCTGTTGACCTTTTAAATTACAATCCAAACCCGTCATTTATGGCTTAAGTTTCTTCACTAGTTATCATTGCCTTTGAAATAAAAAGCCAACTTTTTATTCATAAGACACAAAGCTCTCTCCGTCTTTCTTTTACTTTAGCCAGGCTAAAGTAACTCTTTACTGTTTCTTAAACATTCTTTTTTTTTTTGCCTATATGCCTTTAGAAATGCAATTACTTTGCCTGAGTATCCCTTTTCCCTCTTCTTTATCTGGTCAACTGCTGCTTGTTTTTTCAGATTTAGATATCACCTTCTTTGAGGATCCTTTCATAATCCTTGGGAGCTCCTTGTTAGCGTAGTGCCTAAGGCATTTGACTGCTAACCAGAAGGCTGGCAGTTCAAACCCACTAGCCACTTCTCAGAAGGAAGGTTGGGCAATCTACTTCCATAGTGATACTGCCTCGGAAACCCAAGGAGGGGTCGCTATGAGTTGGGTCCGACTCGACAGCAGTGA